GGGCCCTCCGGCATCCCAAGCGAGTTCTTAACCATCGCGCCACTCGGCCGGCCCCATTGAGTGGGTTTAAAAACAATGAATGCTAGTAGCAATGAGCACATCTGAGCCCAAATTTTGGTTTCAAATACCATTCTTTACATTTATACCACTTCTGTGATATTTCTGCCCAAAATGTATAAGCCGAATCTAATCATAAAAGATCAGACACACAAATTGATGATAGCCCCTGAGTTGGTTTAGATTTATCAATCTTTGTAATTGCAGGAGTGTGGTTGAGTGGAATGGTATGATTGAGAGAATTCTGCATATTTTCTCAACTTTGCCTTTTTGTTATGCTGTGATTCTGACTAGATTATGACTGTTAGCGTCTAATCACAGAACATGTTATGATGCTTCTCCCTCAAGGAGTAACTCAAAATAGAAACAAAACACTAAACCATAACATAAATAACTTACATACTGAAAATAAAATACATTCTTTCTAAAAAATAAAAATAATAGTCATGTTAGTAGGATGCAGGAAACAACTTGAATAATCTCCCACTGGCCAAATATGAGATAATTTGAGCTTCAATGAGGATAAGAATTGCAATGGGTCAAAATCTATTACACAAGTTTAAATATGTGATAATGAATTATCATAAGGATATTAAGAAAAACAAACCAATTGATTCCTTTCTGAGGCTAACAGAGAGCCAATTTACTATCTTGAAATCTAGGGAAATAAAAGAATCATGTATTTAGCCTACATTTCCTATATGAACTGTATCACTGGGTAGCCAAGTAATATAAAATTATTCCAGCTAATAAATGAAAATGAAATGACAGAATTAAAATATCAGCATTTTTGCTGATATTTTAAGGGATTAATAGATCTAGGCATTGAGCATCAATGGCTACTAACTTTAAATAAGAGAGAAAACCAGACATTATGTGCTTCCTGACAAATTTGATTAAGTCTCTGAAGTCCACTGGCACTTTGTAGGCAATAAGAGAGAGCAGCATGTTTAACTGCATCATGAGTGTATAATCAGCAAAATCCAGACTTTGGAGTACTCTATAGGTCAATTGGTTCTAAGGTTCTTCAATGGCTGTATCTTAAGGAAAGATAAATGATAGAGAAGAAGCCTGTAGATTAAAAGCTACTAAAAGACATATGAAATTTTTTTAATGGGCAATACTAAACTATAATATCTAGGGACACTCTCTTGAATGATAAAATCATAAAGAAACTTAAGAAGTGATCATTATAAGAGTCAGGATGATGATAATTTTTGTAGCAAGAGAAATAGCCCTTGGGATGGGCAATAGGAAAGGAAGAGACTTCTGGAGTGGTTGGAAAAGTTATTTTTCTTATTGTGGGTGGTAGTTACAGGGGTGTTGTTGTTTTGTTTTGTTTTTTTGAAAGAATTCATTAAACCATACATTTATTTTGTGTAGTTTACCATATCTGTGCTTTATGTTATAACAAAGAGGCTAACATATATATATATTTTTTTAATATTCCAGGAAAGAAGTTCCCAACTAGCCTAGTTTAGGGTATAGGGATATCTGTTGGTTAGGAGAATTACAGTCCCATCTGATTGTGTTCATTGGGGTAGAAGTTATTCCACCAAAAGAAATACAGTTGCTCTCAGAATGGGGCAATGTATGCTAGGTAGCCTAAACCCACTATTTCTCTATTACAATACAACTTTCTTAAATATTTGGGATAGTCCTGATGTGATATATATCAATCTTTTTTTTGTAAGCAGCAAACCTTTCGTAGGGGCAAGACCATTCAAAAGAAATTTCTAAAACTCAGTGAACTAGGAAACTAACACATTTTAAAAAATGATTTTAGGGCCGGCTGAGTGGCACGATGGTTAAGAACTGGCTTGGGATGCCAGAGGGCCCCAGTTCGGATCCCACATATAAGGGCCAGTGACACTGCCCTCCACAGCTAAGATGCTGAACAACAGCTCAACCTGGAGCTGGGCTGCCGTGAGTCGCCAGCGATGGCGTAGGCTGCAGCCCCTGCTGCAGTGGGTTTGCCATGGGCTACTGTGTGTAGCCAGCAGCCAGCATGAGCGGCCAGCAGCCACAGTGAGCGGCGTCCAGAAGCCAGCGACTGATCTGCCTCACCTGGGAAGAGCACAATGATGGTGCCAACTTGGGCCAGTGAAGCAACGTCCTCCACAACTAGACTGAAGAACAAAACGACAGCAACTTGTCTGTTCCCCTTCCCCCAATTCCCCACTGCTGTTCCCATCTCCCGAATTCCCCAATAAAAATCTTTAAAAAATGATTTTATAAGCAAGAATATGTGCAGCTAATTAAAAACAAAACTTGATTATTTATAATGAACAAAATACAAGGCTTTTCAAAAAATTAATATTTCAAAAGATTAAATACTATGGTACCTCCAATTACAAATAGAACATGTTTTTGTTTACTAAATATATATGAGCTTTTTGGATTGTTCTGGAAACCATTACCTGAGATCTAAAATATTCTAACATCAAGGTAGATAATAAATTACCTCAAAAACGATTCCATATATATATTGCTTATCAGCATTTTGATCAAGAGACATTAGAGCCATGATGACTCCTGACTCTTGGTCCTCCAAATGATGTAAGACAGTCATCCCCTCAGATAATTTTTTTTTTTCTGTGTAACTCCTGACCTCTCCTTCTCTTTCCACTGGCTTGAAAGAATTTGGAATCAGAATGAGAGGTACTGATCATCTTTGATAATTTAAAAAACAAATGTCAATATTGAACAAAGCAAACCAATTATAGACATCAGCTACATTAATGTATGGGTATGCAATTACCTGATCCATAATATACGCCCTAACCCTGCTGATCATTCATTGCTATTAAACATTAACTACATGAATAGGTATAGATGGCAACTTTGACAGCCCGCCTCAGCGTCTATGATTGTACATTCGTTCATATTTATTGAGTATGCAGATGGCCAATAAGCACTTGGGAAGATGCTCAACATTGTTAACTGTTAGAGCAATGCATATTAAAACTACAATGAGACACCACTTCATACCCACTAGGAGAGCTAACATCAAAATGACAGACAATAACAAGAATTAGTGAGAATGTAAAGAAATTGGCATCCTCATTCATTGCTGGTGGAATTCGAAAATGATTCAGCCACTTTATAAAAACAGTTTGGCAGTTCCTCAAAATGTTCAACAGTTACCATATGACCCGGAAATTCCATTCCTTGGCATCTACCCAAGAGAATGGAGAACATATGTCCCAACGTAACCTTATCCATGATGGTTCATAGCAGCATTTTTATAATAACCCAAAACTGGAAACAACCCAAATGTTCATCACCTGATGAAAGAGTAAACAAAATACAACATATTCGTATAATGGAATATTATTCAGCCATAAAAAAAAATGAAGTGCTGATAAGGCTACAACATGGATGAACCATGAAAACAGATAAGTAAAAGAAACTTTACATGATAAGTAAAAGAAAACAGGCAAGAAAAGGGCACATTTTATAGGATTCCATTTATATGAAGTGCCCAGTATAGGCAAGTCTATACAGACAGAAAATAGATCAGTGGCTTCCAGAGGCTGAGGGGAGGCAAGGGGATGGAGACTGATTGCTGATGGGTAAAGGATTTCTTTTTGAGATCATAAAAATATTATAAAATTATACAATAGTGATGGTTACACAACTCTGTGAATATACCAAGAAATAAATATTACACTTTAAAAGAGTGAACTTTATGGTATATGAATTATTTCTTTATAAAGCATTTATAAAAATATCCATTCTGTGCTGGAAACTCTTCTAAGTGCTGGGAATAACTGAGTGAAGACATAAAAAATCGTGCTTTCAAAAAGCTTACAGTAAAGAGATATATCTGTTGAGTCTAAGTTTGTGTCCCTGATAGATTGCACATAGATTGGGGTCCTACCACTTTTTTTTCCAAGGGAAAACTTGGCAGAATAATTTTCCCCCACAGTAATCCTCCTCTACTTTTCTCTGCAGCCTTTTCCACTAAGAATATATAAAGAAGAAACTGTCAAAGAAAAGAGGAGAAGGAGCTGTCACAGATTACAAGAATTTCAAGAAGGTGAGAGTGAGTAAAATTATTGGATGCTGCAAAGAGGTCAAGAAGCTTAAGGATCAAAATATACTCCTTATGTTTGGCAATTAGGAGGTCTATGCTAATCTCCTAGTACAGTTTCAGTAAAACAGTGGGGACACAGCAATTCTATAATGGTTACACACAGCACAGTGCCTGACACAGAGTAGTTGCTAAAAAAATATGTGTTGAATTGGGAATAAATGTGCTGTGAGAAAGTAAAGACAGAAAATAAAGACTGTGCTTACAAGAAGTTTGTATGAGAAGTGGAAATAGATGGTGGGTGGTATTTGGGGGGATATGAGTTAAGGGAGTTCATTTAATATGCGAGAAATTGATTATAATCTGAGAACATGTTCCTAGTAGAGAAGGAAAATTTGAATGCAGTAGAAAGAGAGAAGGTAGCAGATCTGAGAGAGGTGGCAGGGTTCCTCTGAGATTAAATTTGATCTATGTAAATACAGTCCTAGTTGCAGGAGTAGGCAAGTTCACAGAAATAGTATCTGATGGCTTATCTGATGGTTTCTGTATTAACCAGGAATTTAGTCATCTACAAAAAAAGTGAGTATGGGTAGTAGAGAACCAAAAAGGGGCTTGAAGACACCAGTGAATATTTGGAAACAGCTGTAAGAAGTGGAAATATAAACTTGCCAAAGACAAGTAAAAGGATTAACAAGACATGTTGGAGTTTGAAAAACTGTAACTGATAAAATTATCCATTAATGTGCTTAAATATTTAGTATTTTGAAGTTTGCTTGGGCAATCTTTCTTTAAATGTTTTCTAATAGCTATTTAACTTCAGAGATAAAAGATAAAGAAGGTGGATGAATGCTATATTGACATTTGCATATGCGTATGGATGTTAGTTGCAGAGTTCAATTGTAGTATTTCAGATTATAAGCAATATTTAATTTTTTTTCTTTAATGACATGTCAAACATAACTTATGTAACTCAGATGACCCCTTGGTTTCCTGGGCAACCTAAGACATGGATGAGATTGACCTAATTCACCATCATCCTGTGGATTGTAGATGTCTAAAATTTTCCTCAACGTTTATGTGTATTCCCCGAGGTCTTGTGATCTCATAGCCACTTCTTGCTCAGAGCTCCTGCTTCTATTTAACTGAGTCTAGTTTACAGATCATGCACCATCCTGCTCATGTTGCCTGTTTCATATTATCTGAGCCCAGTTGTGGATTTTGGTCTTTCCCCTAACGGCCATTAAGACGTGCACAGAGGCCTGTTTGTATACGTAGAGACGACTCTGATGAAGGTGGTAATTGTCAGGGATCCATTTATCACAGTAACAGGAAACAACTCAACTTGACGTCAGTCTCCTGTACTTTGCTTACTCGTCTCACTTTTCTGTCCTCTCCTCTAAGGAACAAAACTTCAATCCCTTTAGTGGCAGAGTAATTTAGCTATGTCCCCGCCTGCCAAACTCACCTAGAGGTATACCTTGGCCTAGCCAAAGCCAGTATAGTTCTCAACAGAACAAATGGGCCTTCTTTAGAAATCTTTTTTGCATCCCCTACATAAGTCTCTAGCCAATTTCATTTTTTCCTTCTTTTTTAGGACTTACCATTAAAATTTTTTTTTCTTGAAAAGAATACGGCCATTAGGCAAAATAATCCTATATCTGAACTAAAAGGAAACTAAATACTCTCCCTCACCCCGGTATTGTACCACAATGAATTCCAATGAGGGGCAGGTACCATAGCCTTTTATACTCCTGAATTTTTAAAACCCTTTGTATAATTATCATAGTCTATAAAATATCCCAAGTTTTCAAAGCAGGCCATGTTTTTCACTAAGGCACAAAAGTCACAAAGTTTCTTCAGTGTTTTAATTTAAACTGTGATGTCATTGATAAGGATCTCTTCCTGACCATCTTGGTACACTATCATTACATGCCTCAGAGTCCCTGTGTTGGATTTACTCATCCTCTTTACCAAGAGAAAAAAAAAATCAAAATTTACTTTGGTACCTGCTCTAACCCATGTTTCTTAGGTTAATAATTTAATTACTTTCCTCTGATGTGGCCAATTCTTTTCCTAAGGAGCCCTGTGTGGGGAATCAAGCAGACTGGGTTTATGTCATTAAACCTGCCGCTAGCTGTTTATGTCAGCTAAGCGACCTAAGGGAACTGGATTGTTCCTTAATTGCCCCCTCACAAGGCTGAATAAAGAAAAAATAAGGGACTGTTTGGGAACAGATGAGAAATGTAAATAACAATCTTATAAGACAGGAAGGTAGTGAAATGGCCCAGTGAGTCCAAGATGGCGCTCCAGGGATCCTGAATGGACCAATCAACGGTGAGGAAGGTCACAAGGATATAATCATGTGCTGCCTTCACCAGTGGGGTTGTAGCTCACATACCCACAAAGTAAATAGGAAGTATTTTAACAGGAGGATGTGAAGGAGTCTGTGATTTGAGCAAACCAAGGTTCTTGTTTCTAGGGAAAACACCCTTCTGGGATAAACACAGCAGGCTTTTCAGGTTCAGGATAATTCAGCTGTTATATTAAAGCAATTTTAGCTTAATGAAAAGGATTTTATGCTGTGACAACAATATGTGACTAGAAATCATTAAACAACATTAATAAAGGCGAAATAATGAAGGGTCATTGATAGTCTAAAACAAAAGTCATTACTAAGAGCTGTAATATGAAGTTGTAAGGAGTAGAGAAAAGGAGGATATTGCCACCTACATGAGCAATACGAGCTTAGATGAAAGAGGATACGAGGTTTGTGGAGAAATGGGGAAGGGGAGGCAGAAGATTAAGGAAAGCTCGAAGACTGCTCAGCAGGCAAGACCACATGTGAGAGAACATCTTAGGTGGTACTCTCCTGTGTTATTCTGACTCTGTGAATGCCAGTAGTCTTGTATCTCTGTTTTGGACACTGTAAAATTATAAATGTCAATCATCAGACTTTTCCTAGGACATTCTGAGGGTTCTGAGAAGTCAGAGAATCCTTCAGAAATAGAAGACTAAAACTGTTCATTTAAAACAAAATGAAACAAAAACATCAATGAAATATTAAGCTTGAGATATGTACAAGCCCAGTTAGTCGCAATTGACTTGGGAATAATAATAACAGGTACTAGCATTTATTATCTACCCTATAGCAGGTATTTTACAAATGGAACCTCATTTAGTTTGCATAATAAGTAAGGTGAGTATTTTCTCAGGTTTACAAAAGAAGGAGATTGAGGTTAATTAAATGCTTTCCAAAGACTAGTATCTGTAACATAAATGGGAAATTCCAGGCAGGCATATTTGTACAGGAAAAGCTTAGTCAACTCTGAGCCCAGGGATAATGAGATGGTGTTATCTACTTTGTCTGCTTTAGAGCAGACATTAAAACTTGAACTAAACTTGGGATATTAGTGAGGTAATTATCAAAATCTTATCCTCCCCTTGCTACCTTTTCAAGCACTCATTACTTGCTGATGTTACTATGCTAAACAAATTAATAGAATCTTAAATCTCACGGGGCTTATATTCCAGAGAGGGAAACATCATAAATGAGTAAGCAAATATAAGTTATTTCAGATAATGATATCGCTATGAAGAAAATGTGACAGTGAAATGGGGGGAGGAGTTAACTATAATTAAGGTGGTCAGGGAAGTTTTCTCTAAGAAGGCAAATTTTGAGATTGTTCTTATGTAATGTGAAGAAGTCAGCCATCTGAAGATCTGGTAGGAAAACGTCTCAGGTAAACAAGGTAAATATTTGGGAAATGATCTGCTTGTTAAATATGCATGTCCTAGACTGTTCTAAGTTTGGCAATATTTTGGTGAATAAAAAGAGACCAGTTTGTCTTGGTGTTTCCCCTCTCTCTTTTTAGTATTTAAGTATTCATGGTCTAGTCTGCTTCTAAGATCCCATATAAATGTACTTGGTAGCCTTTTGTATGAGGCCGCATGTGACCTTCTCAGCTTCTTTACCAGCTCCTAATGGAGAAAGGCATTTTCCTAGCTGTGGCAATTGTTTATAAAAACATCTGCCATGATTCTTCTATGTTCAAGTGTTTCTTTGCAATTGTGACTTTGCTACTTCTTTTATCTACAGGTCAAATTCTTTCTCCAGACACTTGAATCTGAGCTGGCCTTGTGACTTGCTTTACCAATAGAATGCAGCAGAAGTAACCTTGTGGGACTTGCAAGTGCAGCCTCCAAGAGACGTTTGAAGCTTCTGCTCTTGTCCCCTTGGAACACTGCCATCACCATGTGAAAAAGTCCCAGCCAGTATCCTTGAAGTTGAGAGACCATGTGGAGATAGAGGCTCAACCGAAGCCATCACTAACTGCCAGACTTTCGAGTAAGGCCATCTTGGACCATGCATCTCATAATGGTCTCCAGTTGATAACATCTGCAATGAGTGACCATCAGCAAAATGAACGAGATCAGCAGAAGAATCACCCAACTGAACCCAGCTCAAATTTCTTACTCACAGAATTATCAGCAAATAAAATGGTAGCCATTTTAAGCCACTAAGTTTGTTATGCAGCAATAGATCATTCAGACACTAGCTAGACTCCAAAGATCTTTCTTTTAGGCTTTGTCATCTTGCATTGACCTTGAAGGTGCTTCTTTAAGAGGTCTCTTGAAAGGTGCCAGAAGGCATTATGCTATGCTTTCACCCATTTTTCAAATTACTTCATTTTAAGAATATATATATATATATATTCAGCAGAATTGAAAAATTACTTCTATTCTGATAGAGAAAGGATTCTAACATGCATATGATACCGCTAAACTTGAACAAATGGATTCAGAGTCCTTTGTCACTGTTCCAAACCTTTGCTTTCTTTTAAGACATGCTCTAAATTCCCAGCTTAGGAACAGTTTATGATATATATCATGCTACTCACCAAATATGGGTATTTAGTGCCCTGCATACTAGAATCTTGACTACTATTTGCTGATTCCTGGGGTTTCAAGTACCTACATTAGTAATAAGAAGGGCCATTTTCTACTTGGGGTGTTATAAAGATAGAATTGAGAATAATGGAGCCCACATTAATAAAGGGGTCTTACATAGCTCTCCTGTACCATGTAGCTCTGGCCTAATTACTGCTTCCTTTCCAGTAAGATTTGGAAGGGTATGATGACACTGGTTACCATGTCTTTATGATTTTTCTATTGTTCTGGCTACACTTATTCCTTTCTGCTACTGAACAGATCCAGGCTGAATAATTCTTCAATTATAGAAGGATGCCTGCTACATTTCCTTTTAGGCACCTTCTTTTTTTTTGCTACTATGGTAGTTTTATAAGGATCTATGGAGTTTGATGAGTAGTCAGTTTCTGACGTGTGTTTACTGAAAACTCTTCCTCTGTTACTTATAACCCCACCATTCTATGGTTATTTTGTATGCTGCTTGATCAATATCCCTTTTTCTACTTTCTCATCAACATCAGCTGCGGTGAAAGCTATCCATTTGCTGACCCACTGGGGTTCGTGTGGTTATCCACGCAACGGCCCTTGCACGTGGATTATTCAAATGATTTTCTCTCTTGCCCATGCAATGCCTTCGCCAGTTTCATTTTCAACTCCAGTTTTTCTACATGGTGGCATATCCCTCTTAGACTGCACTCTTTCTGTTTCTGAGCTTATGTCCTTTTAGCCTAGGCTCTTAACTTCCTGCTTCCTCTTTGAAGAACAGTTCTCAGTTTAGACTGGAATTAAATGGTATTTCCTGAGCTCCATCGATTGTTGAGACTGTGCTCCTATCATTCCCTGGATTACATATCCAGCTCTGCACACTTCCCCATATTCTTTTTGGTGCTTAACACGCACATGTTTTTTAAGAGATAACATTTCTAAGTGTACTTTAGTTATAGTATTATAGTGCATGAGACTTCAAACATTTTAAGATAAGAGACAGATAAATCCCATTAGTGCTCTTTCTTGAGGGATAGCAGGTTTATGAATGGCAGAGCTTTATAGATTTATAAATCTATAAAATTCCATTTTAGGAGTTTCGTTTCTCTATGATTATATGTTACCAGTCTCTAAATGTGAAAGGCCAAGAGCAGAATGAGCTGGGAATATTTGTAGGGCTCTGGACCTAAATTTTGAGAGATTTAGAAGAGTGTAAAGACACTGGTTACCGTTTACAAGGTCTACCCTTACTAAAACAAAACATAAAACCGTAAAACAATATTCTAAATTCACAGGTCCGATTTAGCCAGGCTGATAATTTTTAATTATATATTTTGAATGACATAAGTCCTACATGAATACGTTTTGATTGTGAAAAAATAATATTACACAGAAACATGCAGAGTAAAAGCTTAAGTATTTTAGTTGCGGTTCCCCCAAAAGCAGATTCTGAGAAAATAACTTGAGTATAGGTATCATGGAAGAAACTCCTTGTTTTCCTCCTTTACTCACCGCTTCCTAAATACTTCTGTACTCCAAGTATGTGGGGTTTTTTCCCCATACTAAGCAATTCTCCAGTTCCCTGCAGACACCAGCTGGGTGTTCTATTCAGTTCACTTCTGACACAATCTACCCGGAGATAACATCAGATCCCACAAGCTAAGGGCTCAGTCCCACAAGACTGCCGCCCCACTTCAGATGCCAACTGCACATCCAGGTTTTCCACCTGGGATCCTGACTGACTGGTTGTAAATCAGAGGTTCCCACAACCGCCTCCTCAGGTTTGGTCATTTGCAGCATGGCACACAGAGCCAGGGAAAACAGTTTACTTACTAGATTACCACTTTGTTACAAAGGATACAACTCAGAAACAGCCAGATGGAAGAGATACATAGGAGAAGGTGTGAGGAAAGGAGCACAGAATTTCCACACCCTTTTAAGGCACACCACCTCCACGTGTTCACCAACCCAGAGCCTCTCCAAACCAGTCCTTTTGGGTTTTCGTGGAGACTTCATTATGTATGCATAATTGATTAAGTCATTGGCTGTTGGTGATTAATTCAACTTCCAGCCTCTCTCCCCTCTTCAAAGGTTGAGGGGTGACACTGAAAATCCCAACCCTCTAATCACTTGATTGGTTCCCCTGGCATCCAGCCTCCAGCCTGTGGTTATCTAGGAGCTTTCCAAAAACCTCATGAACATAAATGTAAGTGTAACAGAAAAGGACTTGTTGTGAATAACAAACACACCTTTATTTCTCTTATTACGTAGGAAGTTACAAGGGTTGAGGACTCTGTGCCAGGAATAGAGGTGAAGAACAAACATATGTATTTCTTATGATAAATCACAATATCACAATAGGTGTTTTAACTGGGAGGTGAAGAAAGTGAGATGGAAAGGGCAAGAGAGCCAATAAAGGGTTTGTCAATAAATGGGTTACTATTGTAGACCACTGAGGTTTAATTTTGTTGGGGAACCTCTGGAGATCCTGTAGAATTGTAGAAATTTGCTTCTGAATTGTCCCCCTAAACGTGATTATTTTCCTTGATTTATTTATTTAGTCCTAGGCTAATCAATATTGTACTGTTTTATTCTAGTGGTATAAGATGTTTTGATTTCTAGTAGGGAAATTCCCTTCCCCATTGTTATTTTTTTTTGAAACCTCATCATATTTATAAATGTTTTTATTCCCTGTAATTTTTAGAATAAGCTAAGGGGATTTGGATCAGAATTTCTTTATCATACCGAGTATTCCTAGTCAGGAACATGTCTCCATTTAGTTCGGTGTTTATATGTTTGTAAAGGTTCTATTTTTTACATGGGTTTTGTACATTTCTTGTTTCATTTACTCATTATTTTATAGCCCTTATTGCTACTGTGAATGGGATCTTTATAATATTTTTAAAACATGTCATTATTAGTGTGTAAGAAGGCTGTTTATTTCTTCAGGTTTATCATGTATGTATCCAGCCACCTTACTAATTGGTTATTGACAGGCAAATTTTTACCCCTTCACATTCTCGCCTTTCAAACTCTCTTTTTAGCAGTAAGAGACACAATTTGGCTACTCTTTCCCTCATCCCTTATTTCTGGAGATTAAAGATTTCTGACTTTTAACTAGATTTTACTTACCTTTTGGGATCTTGCAATCTAATTTCCACTACTGCCACTACACAGTGCTACCCTGGGATACACTTTTCCACTTACAACATTCTGGCTCAAATATGGTTAAATCTTTTTTAAAAGTGTAGGATTTTTACCATAGCACTGTTTACTTACTTTTAAAAACCATAAGCACTTTTTAAATAAAGAATGTCTCTTCCCAAATACCAACATATTTCTTTACACTGGAACTGGATTTGATCTTCATTATTAACTCTATGGACATCAAGAACAAGAATAGCTTTTAGGGAAAATGTCCTTGCTATTGAGTTTATATTAATAACCCACATAATCTGTAATATAATATATTGTGTTCTTCAAAAATTCAAATATAAATTTCTCCTAATAATGTGTCTTTTTTAGGTTCTTGCCCCAGTCCATACCAAGTTCTTGTTACCTCACCCTTTTAAATAAATCTTTACACACAACTATCTGGGTTTCTGAATTTAAGTAGTAATACAGCATTGTCATCAAGAGATTTGAAATTAGATGGACCTGAATTTGAGTCTTGACTCTACCAAGTATTAGATGTGTGAGTGTGAGAAAATTATTCAGCCTCTTTAAGCTTTTGTTTTCTCTTTATAAAATGCTAATTATAATAATATCCACCTATAGAATTGTCAAGATTAAATGAGCTATTTTTTGGCAATTAGTACATATTATTATTTCTATTGCCACAGTTCTTATTTTCCTAGGCATTATTTGATATCCTATTGTTTATGTTAAATATTTTGAGTTGATCAAATAAAATATAAAATCTTAGGAAAATAATGAACTCTGAGATTGATTTTACAATACTATCCACTTCCTTCTAATATTCTAATCAGAATCTCACTGGTTCCAAGTTTTTTACTAAAACTTTTTATCCTCAACTATAAGCAAGAGATGAGTATTGATATCAGTAGGAGTCCAGACTTTGAGTCAAGTAATTTTTATTTTTTTCAATGGCATGGGTCACAAGAGACTATTTCTTTCAAAATATAGAGTTGAGGAATAAAAGATAAGTAAAAAGTCAAGCTGTGTGAGGCAGGAATTGGAAATACCTTGTACTAAGCCCTAAGAGATAAGTGACTTTGTAACATCAAAATAAATGACTCAGTGTGCTCTTTTGCTATAAATTCAGGCTATACTAAATGACTTGTAACTCCTTTGCCACACCATACAGTTTTACTGTTTCATACTATTTCATCTTCCTGGAATTCCTTCTCTCTACTTAATGTCCATTTAGTGGATTCTCCCCAAAGAGCCAATATACTACGTGTGCTTTCCTCATGCAGTTTTTCAGGTTTTACTCTTAAAGATCATCTTCATCAGACATCTTTTGTAAAGCCCTTTCTAGTCTTTCAGTTCTAGTTTCTAGTGCTTATTATACTGAATTATTACTTTTATTGTCTATGTCCTATAGACAGAAAAGGGGCCACATACTAAACCTGACAAGCTCAAGAGAGGCCAGCATGGCAGGCTGTATAAACTCAGAGACTAAAATTAACCACATAGGAATGGTCTGAACATCAAAATTCCTAATAAAAGCGGGTCCTGGCGGGTAGTCATGTCCTGGGCCTGTATCTTCCTTGACAAAGGTCAATCTTTACCTTTAATAAGCCTGTCTATTGTCTTTTTGCGTCTAAGATAAC